GCAAAGCAACCACCTCTAGACTCTGATCAATTTTTAATGTGAAAGCAAACATTTGGGAAGAAAAAAAAGACAAAAATATCTCCAAAGAAGCACAATAATTATTCAGTTTGGCTTAACACTGAGATCCCATCAGAAAAGGGAGATAATTAAAAACAGACTCTGTGTGAACTGACACACAGCTCAGCCTGGATGGATACTGAAACAGAATAACTAAGAGCGCAAGTCAAGGTATTGACAGAATGAAGGCAGAGAGGCAGGCTTGGGAGCGAGAAAATAAGTAAGCAGCTGCTACGTATCAGCACCCTCTCATACGTGCTGCAGAGTCCAAGGGAAAGGGCTCCATGGCAGAAGGACTATTCCTGAAGAACAAATGAGCGCTCCTGTCCTCTTCAAGGGCTTTAGTATTATCTTGAAATGACGGGAAAAGTTTGGGGTTTTTTTCCTAGTGTGCTCTAGAACATGTTTCCTCCTATCCATCCCTCCAAGTAAAGCAACAATTGAGGAGTTTCTTTGTGAACACAATCTAAAATTACTTAATCTGTTCTTTTGGTCCACCCAAAATATCTCCAGCATCTCATCCTGCAAATTCCTAAGTCAACAGTACTTCTTCCCAATACCTTATCACTTTCTTTTATGCCAAACCAGGCCCTCATTTCCTCTGGACTTGGATCCCCCCTCAGAGCCAATGTAGCTTGTGATTTAGTCTACCGAGCAGAAATCTACAGGAGACTGAACATGGGGCTATACACAGAGAGAAGAAATCTAGGACTATGAAATCCTATGTGATTTCACATCCCTGCTTTTATTTCAGGAGGAGATTAAAAAATGCTTGCATTTCAACGGTTATAAAGATGTATTGTAGCTGTTAACGTAGTTCCTTCTGAGTCCCAGCTTATTAGCCATCACTTTACTTTTACAAAGATTTTCATCTGAGAAATGCAGATATTAAGTAGTTTAACCGCTGATCCAAAGCACCAGCAAGATTTGAATCTGGATTTTTAATTTACCTCTCACAATGTTCACACCTTTTTGTGCAAAGTGCCCCCCTTCGGCATGCCTTAGTTTCAGGGTGCACAATTTCAGGTTTCCTGAAGTGCTGATAGCAGGGGTTCCCCCCCTCTCCCAAATCAGATCCTTTTCAAATAAATGAAGCTGTACATCCAAACACAGGAGCATCCAAAAATCATTCCTCACTTTTGCAAAACACATTTCCCACCCCCCCCCCTCCCC